AAGGTGAACCTCAAAGCATGAACCTTCACGTTTGGACTGGTGATGGTGATGTTACTGGTTTTATTTATACTTTAAGTGTTTCATCTTTAATGAAGTAATAACACCGGAGAATCTGTTTCCATGTTTGTGGTATTTTGCGTTTCTGTCGAGTGCAGACCGCCAAATGTAAAAACTGATTGCAGTAAGTTTTGTTTTTGTAACAACCTCAAACCCTCAGAGCGCCGTCTTCATGAGGTTTGTACAAACAGAATGTTTTCCTGACAGAAGACACCCAGAGGTTTATCTTTTATATGTACCTTAATAAAAAGCTGTGATAAATTCTCTGCTTTCACCTGTTTTTGTTTAGATTTTTTTTTTTCACTGATGGACTTCACCAGCTTTGTCCAAGAAGTGTATGTTCATTAGCCAATGAGCATGCAGGTACACGGTCAGCTTGCCCCATTTTCTGTCCCCAATTAAAATTCAGCGGATCTCACCTTCAGCCTCTCCTGAGGTCACTTTACCTGTGACTGCTCAAACTGAGCACGCTCTGATTTCATTGTGAGCCTCAAATTCAGAAAGTTCTGCTTCACACTGAGCAGAAATCAGAATCCTCATCTACAATTGAGTAAAATCCGAGCCCGAGGAGACCCGTACGCAGGTGAGTTCAGGTTCAGCCCTCAGCTTTCTTGTGTGAAGGTGATTCATTCCTGCTCTGAACCACATTTTCTTCAGATAAGAGGTGAACGAGTAGGGAAAATCCCATTCCTTCAGGTGGTCTGAGAGCTGGAGGAGGACCACCAAAGAAAAATCCTCATCAGTGAGTCAGCTGCTAGGAAACACAAGGACTGGACTTTCAAAATAAGAGCAGATTGTAGAGAAACTGCTAAGAATAAAACAAATTTGAGCCGTTTTTATTCTTGAATTTTGTTTATTAATGATTAAATTTTTCGTAAGAACTTGGTACAAAAAGGTGAGACTACTCTTTAACCATTTACCACCTTCCATCAATCCGCTTTTTAATGCATCATAAAGAAGAAAAACTACATTGGCATATTTAAGACAAACACTTTCCTATACACACTATCCACTGGACAGTCCCCTTATCAATGACAAAGAAAACTTCTACTTCCACAGCCAACACACACTTCACTTCCATCTAAACACCCTCGTATCGCCGTCGCCGCCTCCTCGTGGTTAAAATAATACACCGAAGCGAGAAGTCAGAATGCAGAACTGGCAAACAATAGAAAATCCAATGTTCTGTTTTCTCGTTTTGCTCCTCCATAAAAGAATATAAAAATGTTTTTGTTCAAATGTCGACTCGTGTATTAAAATAGATCTGTTTAAGCACTGCACAGTTTCTCCCGGAGAGGATTTCTAGAAACGGATGAAGAGGTTCGCTCGCAGGGACAGGTTTGTTCATTTTAAAGGGGCGGAGCATGGACGTGGCACAGAGCGCTGATATGGTTTCCTTCTGGTTTTATTTCTCTACTCGATATGCATCACATGGCATCATTCACGTCACCCTCAAAGATTTAATCTGATGTTTTTACACTTTACTGAAGGTTCGTCTCAAATTCAGAGCCAGGAAGAGTTTAGTTCAAGAGTTAAGTTACGTGAAGCTCTAATGTCCACCAGAGGCAGCAGCAGTGAGTCAGTAAAAATAAACATGTTTAAAGCCTGATACAAAAAGTGTTGGTCTCTTTAGATAATTCCCCCATTATAACAACTGTATGAAACTTTTGATACAGAATAAAGATAAGAGGAAGTAAAAGAGATGAATGAGAAGAAGAAGAGTGTCTCCATATGCAGATGACAGTTTTGTATACTGGAGAAGAAGGAGACGTAACAGTTTGAGGTTCATATCTGGAGTCAGAGACAAACAACTGTAAGGGGAAGAAAGTTTTTATAACTCAACTGTTTTAAACTGTATTAAGGTTTAAAGTTTGCAGTTCGCGGGACCTCTTTGACTGGCAGGTGATGGTGACACTGGTGGCTGTAGCTACTAGCTGTCTGCTAGGCCTCACCTCAGCCAACTGGAGTCTGGACTGGACCAAATTTGTGCTGTTGGTGCCTTTTAGACAATATGGCTGCTGTGAGGTTACTGTACTAAAAGGTCGTCCAAGAAGTCTGAGCTTCAGTTTTGGTGAAATTCTAGGGCTCTAACTGATTACTGTTACTGAGCACTAATTAGCAGATATCTGTGTTTGTGGATGCAGCCTGATACTGAACTCAGACGCCCACGTTATCGTCCAACACGTGGATCCCCAGTATTATGACTTTGTGGTTTTGTCAAAATGCAAAGAGAATTTAAAAACTTTTATTTATCATTTCTTATTCATGAAAAGATTTTTGCAGATTCTGAATCTTCAATTAAGATGATATAATATGGTTTTAAATGGACAAAGTTAGTGAAAAAAAAGGTGTTGATGACCTTTTGTGTTGACTAATAATGCAGGTGCATAAACTGAACCGTTTTATTTTGAAAGGGCTGAATCCAAGACTTCATTAGCTAAGGTACCCACACAGATCACTATGCATCTCTTCGTCAATGGGCTGCTTTCCTCTGATGTAAATCTTTTTATTTGCACCAGGACTCACTAACCTGAGCACATGGTTCAGAGATCAGCACTTTGGGGTCAGAATTTACTGACATTTTCTTTCCTTCCAGGCTCTGTAATCTGACAGAGCTCTTATTCTGAAAAACTACTTGTTCATTTGACGATGGAGGGAACGACGGACGCAGGAAAATTTGGTGCTGAGAGACGTTCATCTGAGGTTGGGATCCCTCGGTCAGCCGAGGTGTCTGTCGTCTGTGCACCTTCACAACCTACGCCTTCTTCTTACTCTCAGTAGTTTAAAATTAATCCTTTTTGATACCGTCTGTTCTTTTATTTATTTTGTCAGTTCATGTTACTGACTCTTGGAGTTACAAGAATCCATCATTATGCACATGTTTGCAGATTTAAGCCAAAATGAAAGCAAAACAAACCAAAAAGTCTCGGTGCCCCTGATTTATTCGATTTGGGTTGAGGTTCTAAAATTCAGTGTTTCTTTAAAACCTAATGGACGTGAAGGTGCACAGATTTCAGGCGTCAGCTTCAAAGCATCTTTTGGAAAAGTCAGGCTGTCGTGTTTCCGTGCCCACTTTTGTCTCTCAGTACGGTCTAAAGCCAACGGAGGCCTTTGACTGTGTTTTTGGAGTGAAGTCACTTTGGAACCGTTTTGCCGATGTATTGCTCATCGTTTCTTTCATTCAGAGTCGCTTGGCTGTTTTTTTAATCTTTTGTGCAGATGATGTTTCTCCAACATTAAGGATCTTTTCGGTATTTTGGACTTGATATGACTCATAAAATAAAATCACGTCTTTATGTATTCCTTCCCGTCCTCCTGATAAAGCCTTTGTTTTTCTGACCGTTTCTTCATGTTTGTGCATCGACAGGAAGTTGAGAGCTGCATGATAAACAAATAAAAAATGTACTAAATCTAACTTCATAACACTCAAATGGAACCTCTCTGGACCAGCAGGAAGACTAGCGAGACAAATGGACTGACGGCGGCGTCCCGGCCCGCCGACAGTTTGACAGAGCGGTCCCATTTCCGATCAACGTGTTTATAAAATGACGCAACAAAGACGCAAACCCTGGATTTCAAACGATTTGTACTTGAGGCAGTGTTCATCTGTCGGATTAACAGGCTTGTCGCTGTTCGAAAAACACGAGTAAAAAAAGCGAAAAATATAAAAACGGGCAGGGGAAGAAAAAAAGCACATTACTGATCCCAGTACAAAAACAACAAAATGTTTTTGGCATATTTTTTATACTGGTTAAAGGTGAGAGGGGGCGGGTGCGTCACATCGACTGAACGTCGGCGTGTTCGAGTGCAGCTGTGAGCGAACACGGCGGTCCCCGCCCACTTAACCAATCACTTCCTGTGACAGCAGAGCTGAGCACGAAGAAAGAAGTTCACTTACACACAGCTTACAGTTCATTCAGTGACTACTGAAGATCTGCTGGTTCTTAATATTAAAGCCGTAAATGTGTTTCTTCTGTGGTCTAACAGGACTTGACTCAGTATTTTGATGGGTGATGTTGAAATGAGACAAAAATCAGTTTGAGGTCACATCAGGAGTAAAACTCTCCAGATTAAACATGTTGACCCCTCGTTAATGTGGAAGCAGCTCCTCCTTCTGTCTGCTTCAGCATACACGTATCTGATACTGAAACATTTTGGGTTTTTTAAACTGAGCATGATGCAGATAATGTGCTGAGGATGAATGAGGAGTGACCCAGCCTGTCCAGCAGAGCGTGCACTGGCTGCACGGTGAGCAGCAAACAGTGCTGGGCCTGTGTGTGAACCTCCCGTAAGGTCTGTGTTGGTTCACTGGAGATCAAACATTTGTGGTCCTACTATCAGCGCTCATGGTATCTGACCATCATGGTGTTTGAACCAATTAAATCCAGTTTAATGTCGGGCTCAGCAGTTTTTATAAATGGTTTTCTAATAACTCATATCATTTAGAGCTTCAGAGCAGTTTTGACTTTTTAAGTGCAGTCTTAATTTTTCAACAGCAAAGATTAGAGTTTGGATGGTTTCTGCTTTTCTTCGACTAAACCTTAAAGAGAATGTGAAGCTCTGCAGTTATTTTTACAATCTAGATGCATCAATATTTACTATTGATTTAAATAGGAAATGAATTTTAATGAAAATATGTCTGGCATGTTTCTCTGGCTCTGCTGTCAAACAGGAAGTAGATGTTTTAAACGAGCAGGAACTCGTCTCGTTCAGACGTGTGACTTCGGTAAAGTTTGAAAACCCTGCGATGATCATGATGGTGATAATAATAATAATAATAATAATAATACAACATATGTACAGTGATCCCCTTGAATACTCCAAACTTACATTTTTCAACAGGCATCAGCATGAAAATACTAAAATCTCCACTAGAAATGCTAATTTCTGTAGTTTAATCTTAAATACTTTTTTTCTTTGACTTTAACTCTATTAATACTGAAAAAAGTTATTCTCTGCTTTTGTTTGAAGGCTCGTATGCGTTCACATACACGATGAAAACATTTTCCTGAATCATTATGGCAAAAACATTGTTCATAGGAGAATGAGAACAAACATTTACTCAGATATATCAATGTACAGTCCGTCCACTTCCATCCATCCTGGATCTACTCTAACTCTACTGTTCTCTCTCTCTATACGCAGGACAGGAATCACACCTGTGTTTCAAAAAAGGGAAATATCTTCTGGGCCGCGCGTTCCCGCCGCCACGCTGTAATCGAACTTTTTGTAATAAATACATTAAGGCCAAGAATGTTAATAAATAGAAAAGAACTTAAAAAAAGAAATCTCGTAAGCACTGTAGGTGTTGGGTTTTAAAAAATACTTGAATCGTGTGGAGGATAGAGGCTCTTCATCAATATTTTTCTGACTAAAGAAATCATCACCGCTGCCCTCTGTGGAAAAACTTGGAGCTCTGGTGGGCGGAGCTAGATGTTGACGTCGTCCTGGCTGTGGCTTGTCTGCAGGGGCGTGGCCGAGGGGCCCGGGGGGGTGGCGACGGCGGCGGTGCTGGTGGATTTGATCCAGGACTGTGAGAGCAGCGACGTGGCGATGGTGGCGGTGGTCGTCATGGTGACCTGGATGAGCTGGTCACGTTGGATCAACCTAATGAGAGTTTTGAGGCGGTCGAGCGACGCCTGAGTGTCTCTCTGCTGCCCCAGCAGGCGCTCCCGCAGGTCCATGCATTGCTGCGGCAACACGAAACAAAAGAGCAACTTCCTGTCAGGTACAACAGGTACAACAGGTACACCGGCACACCCAGCATTAGCATGTGAGCTGCATCCTGATCACTCATCTGGGGACACATATTACGTGCTATAGATCAGGTGTTAAAATCAGGTATAACCAGGTGTTCAGTCCCATGTGCCTGAATGGAACGTGGGTTCTACCAGGGATGGCTACTGAGAGGCCAATGATACAATGCTTTAAAAGGCCACCAGAGGGCAGTATGTAGTGTTAACAGCTGAGGTCAGTGAGCTATGAAACAGAAACGAGGCGTGCTAAACACAGTTGAACCCTTCTTCCATCCATCTGAAGGTGACAGCAGTTAAAATGCTTCGTTTTTTAGCTAGCTGCCTCGCCTTCATCAGCAGGCCCTTACACTCTGTTTAGCTTTTCTGTTTCACAGCTCGCTGAGCTCAGCTGCTTACTACTGCATACTGCCCTCTGGTGGTGTTTCCATGCAGTGCACTAATAAACGTGTAATGAGTCACCTTTCTGATTTAGTGCTGTTAATGATGGTGAGCTGGCCAGTGCAAGTGAAGCTTTTAGTAACTAAACTCTAAAAAGGAAAACACTTCAAACTGCCATCACCTCCAGTCCTGGAGAAACCATCTATAGAAGACAACAGGAGTGTTTTCTTTATCAGTTAAAACAGAAATCTAAATTAGGATCAATCAAGCTGTCTAAACAGGAAATGTCCACATCCTCTGGACTATACATTTCCTTAAGGCTTACTTGTTGTTCCTAGAAGTACTAGTGTTCCTAAAAGCAGAATGGGAGGCACAGCCTTCAGTTTTCAGGCTGCTCTTCTGTACTGTTCTCTACTTTTAAGATTAGGCTTCAAACTTTCCTTTTTGTTAAAGCATATAGTTAGGCCTGGATCAGGTGACTCTGAATCCTCCATTAGTTATGCTGCAATAGGTGTAGGCTGCTGGGGGATTCCCATGATGCATTGAGTGTTTCTTCTTCATTCTATTCATAAATCTTCATAATCTATTATTATAAAGTCACTCCAGTATAAAACACCATGAGGTGGCTATTGTTGTGAATTAACACTATGTAAATAAAATTGAACTATATATAATGTGTTTTTTTTAGTTAATTTGTGTTATTTTTCCCAAACTAGAGCATCTATATCCACATGAAAGTTTCACATTTAAACTCTTTTAGAAATTGCAACCAAATCAGTTTTAAACCCACTGAAAGACTAATGTGAAGACTGCTGCTGCATCTATGAAGTTACGAAAGACCAAAAGCGCAGGAAAAGTTGGACCCAGACCTGTGACCACAGTGTGTCGAGGAACTCTGTGTGTGTTCGTACTTTGAGTGTCTTGTTGAGCTGCTTGTCTTGTTCCTCCAGGTGAGCACACTCTTTCTTCAGCTCGTTGTTCCTCCTCAGCAGCCGTCGCTTCTCCTCCTGCCTCACTGCTCACACACAAACATGTATCAGTGCACCGTCAGTACGCTCAGACAAACATGGCCGCTCACCGCGTGTCTTACCCGTCTTGTGTGTAACGTAGGACTGAACGAAGTTCTGTGGCCATGACATGTTCTCCTTATTCAGGACCTGGACAGCGAAAACAGATCGATGCTGTTAGACACACATGCTAAGCACCGAAAGCCAAAAACCATTGAACCTGTGAGGACGGGAAGGTCGTACCTTCTTCTGGCACTTGGGGCAGTACCAGGGGCCTCTGGGTGGGGTTTTGAGCGGTGGGTGGAGGCAGGTGGGGTGAAAAGCTCGAGGGCAATTGTGGCATTGCTGTAGCTCGCCGTCCTCCTTACATACGGCACAGTGGTCATCATGCTCCAAGTCCTGCTGTCAGAGCACGAAAAGCATCCATCAGTACCGGTCTCATCCACCAGGGTCTGCATTTTCTCTAACAGCCAGCAGGGGGAACCTCCAGCCAGCTGACCTCTGAGCTCAGTGAACTTCATCTGATACTTTTACAATAAAACATGTAGCTCATTTTGGAAATGATGTCCCATTAGAGGAGCAGGAAGCAGGGGACAGTTTAGGGTGTGATTGACACATTGGTAGCCTATGATCTCACAGTGTCAGCGAAAAGAGAGATGGGCTGATGATTTAAATGAAGAACTTTAATGCACATCTGAAAACAGAAGACCTGAAACACGGGTATGACATCATGAATCACATGACCTACCTTCCAGCAGAAATCCTCAGAGTCTAGCATGTGGATTGAAGCAGAGCAGAGGTTAGTGGGAGGTTAGAGGAGAAGCCGTGCAGGCCATTCAGTTAAAACATCTCAGGTAGGTTAGTAACCGAGTCAAGATCAACCAATCAGATCACTGCAATCAATGAGCTGAGTGAATGAGTGAATGAAGGAATGAGTGAATGAGCATCAGCAGGTGCTACTTCCTGCTGGCAGG